GGTAAGCGGCGAGTGGAACGTCAGTGCAAGGGTGACATGGAGGAGATGGTGTGAAGAGGAGCTGAAACAGTATGGACTAACATGGATGCAGGTGAAAAGTACAGTAGAAGACAGAAGCAAGTGGAGACGTGCAGTTGAAGCCCTATGTTCCACAACATTAATAATAATAATGTGGCTTAGTAGAGAATCATCTTGATTAACTGTACCGACTGAAGGAAAGAGCAATAACTGACGTGGTTGATAACATTAGTTTCAAGGCGCTTTCATCTTACTAGTGGCTACGGGATGGCCCAGTACCTGTGCCTAAACCAAGCGTCTGATTTTGGGATCAAAATAAAAACTGATGTGCTGTAAATTACAACCGTTCATCTTCAAACAGTGAATAATGCCTGCTTTGTGTATTGTTCGTATGCCATGTATGTGAGTCAATAGTCTTCATTCTACTAATTCATCGCATATCATCCAGTTTAACCCTACTCCCCTGATCGGAGAGCTAAGACATGTCTCCGTGGACTTACTGATGAATGATCTAGTTCATCGCATGGTTTACAAAGCGTAACACTGTTCGGACGCTTGGATTCGAGACAAAGAACACACTAAGGTAACAGGTTAAATCCACAGGATTATAGTGCACACCTCGGGAATAGAATTCGAAGAAATGCTGAATGAGTGAAGGAAACGCTCTACAAAAAAACAATTCTGAAAATCAAGTTACAAAAATGCAGAGTGGTAAAGCAGAATTTCTGTCAGTCAGCCAGAAGGACTTGATCTCAGGTAAAGCTTAGGTCACGTTACTTCATATTACTGAAGTGTCTCTGGTGTCTTGAGATTAAAAAAACTTGTGCGAGCTCTCTGTAGTGCCTTCCTTCCGATCCCTTTACCCAATGGTATTGACAGTCAACAGATTTACAATTTTCTGTCATTATCAAACAACAGTTCCACTGAGAAATATATCACAAGTATTCTGTTTATCAGAAATGATCACTTGTCTAAGGAATCGTCAATAACGCTATTAAATAATCCACTGCGATAATATTGTTTGTAATTTAACAAATATATCTCCGTTATTAGTCTCACTTGTAATTCGTTTCCTGGAGCAGATAAGCATAGTGCCAGAAATAACCCTAAAGTTTAGCAAGCATCCAATTAACATTGAGTGATGGGGAGTAGATTGTAGTCTCAATTTAAGCAGAATCATAAAAGATGGCACTTAAACTGTGCGACGATATCTTTGGAATGCTAAACTCCCCGGGACCAACAAAATTAGTCAGCACACATCATTCCAGTAATCCTACTCATCTTGAAATGGCACTTTGAAGTATCCCTGGAGTGGTCATTCATAATCCTGGCAGGCATAAATGCCCATCTCGAGGAAACATTAACGTGTTCGTTTAACAAATGCAATGAGTCACTCAGGTTGTCAACTCAGTTGTTCTTCACAGAGTGACTGTAAGAGTAATAAGCAAATAATCAAACTACCTAAATTATTCCCATACCCACATACAGTCCACTAGACAAGTGTTTCTTTCTCTACTTCGAGGCTCAGTTTGTATTGAATGACTTGTTTTCAATATTCTTATTGCTGGTTTGCATAATGTTAGCTTGTCGTACTAGGAATGGTCAACTTTCTAATGAAAGCTCAAACTCTAGGTACACTGTCAGCTGAAGCTGGTAAATGTGTGTGTTATTTGGCGCCTGATATTGTATCACAGAAAAGCATTTCATAAACAATCAGTATATCCGAACAACCGTAACTACTGTATGCTACAAAAGACGTCATTTTAAAATAGAAGGACAAATGCAACCTTGTCTAAGCAACTAATTCAGTGAAACAGTTGTCATGAAAACATTTCAGAGTGTAGCAAACACATCACTTACCTTGTATTGCTAAGAGAACAGCAGTCAGTAGACTTGATTACACCATTCTATATAATGGTCCATTCTTGCAAACAACATTAGGTTACCGGATAAAGGTACTTCACCATCAAAGATTTCTGTTCGATTGTCTTCCGTATCGCTAAACACAGATATCAACAGCACATTACTGACTACATTCACGGACAAATACTGTAAGTTACGTAAAGTTCCAGAAAAATCCATAAGAGGAATAAGAAAAAGAAAGGTGATCAAGCATCTGTATTCCACCATCATTTAAAAATCGATGAGTCCTGGGAAAAGATTCATATATGGACCCATGGATGGAATGCTGCTGATCTCGTTGCCACCTCGTTAGTTTGCTTGTATAGTTTACTTTGAAGCCAGAACACAATGGTGGTCTGATATTTTTTGATTATCTGAGACGTTAATTTTATTTCAGAGTACACGATAAATTTTCAGCTTGTTCCTAACTGCTTCCACAATTGTATTAATTACAGTGTTAGTGTATGAACTTGTTACTTTACAACTTATTCAGTCGTATTTGAATTTCCTCTAGCTTTCGTCTCATTTCATGTGAACTAGTTAGCCAAGAATCTAGCCAGCCTTTAATGGAACATAATGCGCTACGTTTGCTTAGTTACATAAAACTCTCATTTCTCTGGTGTTTCTCGCTAGGAAATTGTGTAATTTATTGTAATTATTTTATTTTTGAACACTAATTCCATGTTAGTTTGTTTATTAAAAGTATCACACAGTGAAACAGTATTATTTACTGGATGACATTTTGAACAAAATTTATTGTTCGTAATCATATCAAATGTAATCACACGACTTTGAAACTTGAGTTTTATAGTTTTGTTTGTCTACTCCTATTTGTCGTAGGAATGACGTCGTCAGGTTATTGAGGGTTTTTCACCGTTCTAAGGTCTTATGAACGCTAGTCTGTGACATGATGGTGGTGGAAGTCTACTCCAGTTCACCAAAAGTATGGTTTTGCAGTATATGGGTAAAACAGTCATGTATATATATATATATATGATATTGTTTGTCCCTTGGGTTCCAAGTGGAACCGTGAGAACCCTTCCCTCACTGAATTCTGTCTTCTATCATCTTTTATAGCTAACTCCACGTTTCCCAACAAACTATCATTTCGTATTCACATTATCTCCTGTTTGTCATCATTGGAGCCCAAATTAATTGCTTCTCATTCGGCTTCAACTCGATGGTCAGGTAGGTGATATCACTCATTAGTCTGCTTAGTGTATGTTAGATCCGCCTCCCTTTACTTCGATATATTTCCTCGGGCTAAAGATTCTTGGTTGGTTCACTGCCTCTTAGAATTGCATATCGCTTCACTCTTGTGGTCAACTATGTGACTTTTGCTAACAAGCAGAATCAGTTGTCAGTGATAGTCTACAGTAGTCTGTTGTAAAGGCCTTTCAGGACGCGTTACGTTTTTCTTTACTTTAGGTAATATTACATTGAAAAACGTAGGAATATAAAAAAATAACCGATTAGGAAGAGCAGAAAAATTGACGCTGTTTATGTGGAAGGTGTCTGCATGAGGACATAAGACTAGCGACCTTGCCCCGTAAAAATAAACACCACTGTTACTGGTACTTCGAAGCTCTAGCTGAAGCCTTGTGCTCCACTGTCAATGTAAAGGAATAAAAAAAACAACCTAAATCTGTCATCAGTCCCTGAATACTTTAAAAATTGAAATGAACCATAGATGGAGGTGTTTGCTGCATGGCTGACGTTCTCATAACTTTAAGGACCACTGGTTACAGACGACTGAATGGATTGTTCAAAATCATTCATGATGACGTAGCTGTATTCACTCTTTGTGATCTCCCATACCCATTCCACCCTAATTTTTTTCCACGTTACTGTCCTTTCGCCCGTACGGTTCTTCTCATTACATTTCTTTAAGATTTCGTTTTCTGTCTTTAAATCTGTTCACTAAATAGAGTATGAGAACTTGAAATTGTTACACTTCTATGCAAATTTTTGAGTTGAAACTCAGTTAGTCAAAATAATCTACTGCTGGTGTACACTTTGTGTCACATTTAAGCTTTTTTCGACTTTGCTGTGTTCTAGTCATTAATATGTGTCCTGTTAACGTGTTTCAGTTAAATGTCACAAGAAATAATCAGAAAACCATAAATATATGAATGCAGATCAACTTGAGATATTTACTGATGGAGTGATGACGGCTATAATGATACCATTCTCAACTGAATATTCTGGACGTTTGTTGGTGTGGCTTACAATAATCAGAATATCTTTGTTTTCTAAGAACAAAGTACGGAGTGAAGTGCATTGATCAAATGACACGCAGGGAAATCACATCAATTTGTCTAAGTTAACTACTTAAACATACAACGTATGACTGTTATCCAGGGTATTTCAGGTGAAGACATTTTTATGTAAAAAGGAGTCGACAAATAGTTTTGGCAAATCATAAATCTACTTACTACATGCTTTATTGCAAATCATGGTCTGGAAAGAGCAGATGATTCATTTCGAAAAAGTGTTTTTAACATAAAAAACTATGAATCTCACTTCACTAAAGACAGTAGCATTTTCGTGATAAAATACTCTACACTAACATAAATGTCATGTCTTTGTGACTGAATATGAATACGTGTGTGATTGTGTGTCGGTGTGTTTAGGTATAGTTGTCTGATTTCATCAGTGAGGGAAACAATATTCACCTGACAAAAAGTATACTGCACAATCAATCAAAATTTATTCATACTATTCGGAATGCCAACTGACATAGTCTCAAAATTCTAGCTGATATAAATGGGAGTATTAACAGAGTCAATTTTGTAAATCAGCTGAAATATGCAGGGTGACAAAGTGTAAGCACTTCTCAAACTATATTCGTTTAATTAAAAATCATATGAAATTTTAAAAACAAACTTACTCAGATATTAAAAGTGGTATTCTTGGTGTGGAAAATGCTACTGACAAGAATTTGAATATAGTAAGAACAATAATTTGTGCAGAATAAAATGATACCATCATTTAATTCCTTGGGATCTTATCAGCTGCTTACAAGAATTTATCACTAGTCTGTTGTTTGTGCTGTCATCTGAAATAGCCTTGAGTGGCTGATCGACAGATTAAGTTCGTAGGAGGAGAAGGAAAGACGATGCTTGTGGAACAATGAAGAAAAGCGTGAAGCGAAGATGAAACAATCAGAATACGAATAACTTTTGAAAATGGAAATTTTAATATAACGTCTCTGTAGTTTGCCTCCACTGTACATAACTTCACCAAACAAACCATTCTGTTGTCAGATGACAATGCATGCAGTAGTTAGAATAATGATGGTAATAGTGGGCTGAGAGTAACAAGATTCCAAACGAATCACTTGATATCAGTGAACTGGGTGGAACGATGCATTCATAAGATGAAAGTGTACATTATTCGAATCAGAATCAACTGGAGTGGTTGAATCGTCAATTGATCCATATCAGTTGTGTCATTGTCAACCTTGACTGAAATCCTACTATCAGTTTTAACAGAAAACAATAAAAGTGGATGAGTCTATATGATTTATGTAAAAATTATATCGATAGTATGGGTAGTTGGCCCCATCAAAATATTGACCAAGTGACGGTCCAATTAATAAATAAATAAATCTATTCTTCAGAAAACTAACTTGTTAGTAGCCTCCTCCACCCTGCTACAGAATGACATCACAAATAAAATCATTTTATACCATGAAATGTGCATTTCAAGTGAGTGTGCTATGAATATGTTTCGATTAACACTCAATCATATAAATCGATGAATACGGGTGTGTTAGCACAGTAATCACGATGAATTTATTGAACACCTATTAGCGGAGCAGTTGTGGAAGCAAAACGTAATGTGTTATAGATGTTGAGGACATTGGTTTAAGGGTTGTGCATGCATACCGTAAATAGTATATCATCGAAAGAAACTGCAATTATTCAGTGTGGCAAAACGGGATTTGACAATGAACAATAAATTTTGCTGGACAATTCACCAATTAATAAATAATAATATTTAATTTTCTGCTATATGTCAAATGAAATGATCCTCTCAACGGATCTGAGAATGTGGATTTTGAGAAAGCTATGCACAACAGGTGACAATGCTATGCAAGTAATTCAAGTTAATCCAAGTAATTAGAGCCAATGCATAACAGATATACAATGCAAGTTAACTCATCAAGATGGATTTCGTACCGAGAATTTAAATGAAGATGAAATGAAGATCACCAAAACGGATTGTTTGAGTAGAAAGAATGAACACTAAAGTCGATATACAAGATGTTAAAATGAGATAGATGAAAATCCAGTTGGAAGGTAATCACCTCTGTACGTTTGAAATTCTAGTTCTGTCTTTAAAAGAATCATTTAAAGTTTTGACTGAGCACTAAAATAACTTACTCCCTGTTTATTTTTAAGGAACTCAAAACCCATATTTTATGGCGACAAAAACTTAAACAGATATAAGGCTATAACGACAATTCAGTAAATTAAGTTATGAAAGTATCACAACTACTGCCTCCAATACTAGGCACTAAGCATGATAGTGGATATGTTCTACATATAGAAATTTTCCAAATATAACCACAACAACACTGACACATTTAAGTTACTAAGCATGCGTACATTACTGTACTAAGTAAATTATACGAATGAAGTGCTCAGCAATTGTACACGGATTGATATTATTTAACTACAAGTCATAAATATTACCCATTTAACAAGGTATGATGTAAGACATTAATCTTACCGCGTGAAAACGCAATCCAGTTTATACAAAAAATAACCGATAGGCGAGTTGGCCACAGCTTCATCAAATGTGTAATTAGTATGCTGTTACTCAGACGGGAAGCAAAGAAAACCGTCTAACCTCAATCGAACAGTTAAAATTAACAGAATTGAGGAGACTGTTCTACACTTTGGACTACCACTACTTATTCTTTGTCATTCCGTTGTCTTCCAAGCTTGAGCTTTGAAGTTCCAGTAACAGTGATGTGGAATTGCCAATCCCATGCCCAACCTTCCCTTGTTACTGTGTTCATTACCCGATAAGTGCAGTTTAGGCGTGAGTTTGCTGGGAACATAACTTTGACAAATTAACCAAGTAGTTAGCAAGGATCCTGCCACTGTACCGCCGATGCACTAAATGTCTGCAAGTAAACATATCGGGATGATCCTAACAACTTCATTATTTGTTAATTAAGCGTACATTAACGACTACAAAACACACCCAGCTAACAAAATGTTGGGAATCATTTAATCACCTATTCTCTGCTTTAAGAAAGAGGATAACATGGAACAGAAATATACTCAGTAATGTGTTATATGATGCATGCAGCTTCAGAAGTATTGTAAAACCACAGGAAAAAGGGTATATTCACATTAACAATTTGAAGACGAGTTCAATGGAATTTTTATGAATGAAAGCAGGTTAGAAATAGACACAGAATAGATTAAATCAATGGTGAAATGCATTCATCCTTGTCTTGAAAGACCAAAATTATATCCAGTGAGTACTAAAAGTGGTTAGTGATGTGCAAAATGTGTCATATATAATAAAGTCAATTTCATCTACAAAAAGGTCTTCGTTTATAATTCTTCGAAAAGAAGATAAATCTGTCAAGTTCATGTTGTGTTGTTCACAGTGAGTAAAGTTGTGTGACAGTCAGTACATATGTAAATTTCGATGATATGTGATGTCTGAATGTTATTAGTAATGGAAACATCTAATGTTCAAAATAATGTGATGAATAAGATGATGGAAATGCAAAGTGACAAGAGTACTTTACTGTTTGCAATACATTTAACTTGTTTTGATTCAGCTGGGAAGTAGTCGGCGTCGAATACTCTGTAAATGAGTAACAGTAACAACACCGATAAATGAGATTGACGCGGTATTATGAATTTGCGATGAACAACATTGTTAAAATGAAGAAAATAATCAGTCTTAGTTCACTTGACCGAACAGTCAGATATTTCCTAATGTCAAGTAAAATAACTAGTGGTGACTGCAACATTCAGTGATTTGTTCTCTTTCTGACTAATCCTAATCCACTTAACATTTCCGACGAGGCGGTTATTTAGTGCGTGGTTTTCACGATGAACAAGAACGAATTGGTGATCAGATTATCAAGGTAGATTAAATGAGAAATGATGTCAAGGCGATGTTGACAAGTAGACGATACATTTAAGGAAATGAAATTGTTGAAATCAGGTTTAGAATATGAAGAAATGGTCAAAGCCTGACTAACAAGTTCTAGCTTCAATAAGCATACGTAGGTTGAGATGGGCGAAATTTTGAAAGCCAGGAGAAATTTATGCGCAGACCAGTATATATCGTTTGCATCTTCATCGTTTTACAGATTAGAGAAATCAAGCATATTTGCTAAAGTCCAACACTTTGATATAGTTCCTAATGTGAAGAAGACATTTATCTTCTGCGACAGTGATGTATTGTGGCACTCCGTAAGAGAACGTCAACAAATCAGTATCGCACCAATCAAGGCATTTTACATGAACTCACACAGCCATGTAACAGCATATGACAAGTTATCACCTGAAGTAATAACAACAAATGGTGTTCGTCAGACATACTCAATGCCCCGTTTTTACTTAACATATTCACAAATATACTAATGTTTTGGATCTTTGGTGACTTAGGAATTCGGTAGTAAAAGGGAACAATTTAATCGATTAGGAATATGCAGGAGAGGTAGTCCTTTTTGAGGAGAACACTTTCGTGAATAACGAGGATGTTTAGATTAGATAGAGTGACTTCTAACAATTTCTTACGTGAATTCAGTTGCCAGCCTACAACGATGTCGATAAATTAGCCTAAATTTAAATCATTGAGGCTACTGACAGCTTGCAGAGTTTTTCGTAATGCAACAGTTGTTTTAGGCAGAAACAAATAAACAGGCTAAAAGAATCGACGTATTGTACAAGTAGAGGCTGAGTTATAACAGAGTGTTTCAACTTCCTTACGTAGAATATTAGAGGAAATATTTTCCTGGAGATTGACAGGACGTCGTACAATCTCTAAGTCGCAAGAATCAGGAGAATAAACCAATTCGTATAAGTTTCGTTTACATCTGAAAGTGAAATAATAGTCTAATATTTGGAATTATTCGGAATAACAACATCTGTCAAAAACAGCTGGCTAATTTCCGATAAAACCTATTCATTTTGTAATTGACAGGTACCGACACAGTCAGATAATCAACATACTTAACAAATTAGAATCATCACAAAGAAGTTAGTAATGTTAGGAGAAAGAAATCGTGAGAGCAGGAAAAAGGTGGCACCTCAAAGGAAAGCTGCTTCGGTAAGTGATGTATTGGAAGAATGTCCTTTACGCACAATTTGTATTGCTTTACTACCTTATTTCTCTTCCTTTTTTGTTGATCTAATCTCCTTCGTCAACTGTTATCTATCTTACACCGCTGGATTTCAATGATGGTCGCTAAGAAGACCAAGTTAATAGCTTATGACTTGCCATAAAACTACCGTCATTGGAATTATAGAGATACAGACGAGGACAGACCTATAAGATGGGTAAACCTCTTTTAGGTGTGTTGTTATTTTAAAAGGTACATAGACAGTGATGCCATTTTAAACTCATTCAGAAAATGTTTCCCGTCAGCTAGAATTCCAGCTTATAAAGTCGAAACAAACACTCAGACATGTGGATGAATCGTAATTTTTCAAGAATTCCATGAAAACTAATTTGAAGAAGCTTATGGATCATTACGAATAACAGTCAACCTCTATTAAACTGTTCCAAATTAAAGACGAGTATGATATATATAGACAAAACTCTCACCCGTATTCAAAAAAGTCTTCCTCGGTATCATATCCACCAATATTTTCTTCTCTATACTCATCAAGAGTTGCTTCTGAAGGTACATCAATAGATTCTTGTGAAGTGTTTCCCTCTGTAGGCTTTAATGTAGATGGCAAGACAGGTTCCTTCGGTTGTTGCTTATCCGGAGATGAAACATCTTCGAAGATGATTGCATGGGATCGTTGGTATAAACCAAACGATAAACAATCGAATCGATACAAAAATTGTTTTCCTCCATCATGTCCTTCTAAAACAACTAGACGGCCACCGGGTTTCAGCAGCCTTTTCAACTAGGTCAATTATGTGCAAAAAAGTGAATATTAGGGTGAGAATATCATAATTATATGATCAGCTGATAAATCCTAGTCAAAGCTAGACACTTTAAATGACTGAAGCTGGTAAGCTAACATGAAACGTTATTCAAATGTGTATCAAATGAACTTCTGACGCTTGTTAGTATCTCACAAAGGCAAACTCACATCTAAATTATCAAGAAAAGATGCGATATGAAATACATTTCCACGAAGCTACGACAGAGTAGTTATCGAACCTCTGGTTCTTAACATCTAATAAACAGATTATACTAATTTGAACTGAATCGTCTATGTCACATTTAACGTCACCGGTCAGTGTTCGTTAAATATTTTCCTTCTAAACGTCTTATTCCGGACTCATTACAGCACTCCTACCTTAAGGAAAATTGAAGAAAAATATCTCAAGGACGCCTCCCAAAATTGTCAAGTAGAAAACACAGAGAACAAACCAACTCCAAAACAAGCTAGCCAAGATTAGAGAACAACAACCAGACAATACACCTATAGACTGCGTAGTCAACCTATCAAAACAACCACTATCAAAAATGGAACAACAACTACTACAAAAAGGGTTAAGCTACAACACTGGAGATGCTTCGAAAACCGATTTCTTCACTCCCCTTGAATCATTACTCAAATCATCAAACTTGAACGAGGAAATACAGGAAGAGATACGCCAAACAATTGTGCCAATGGTCAAACAGAAAAGACAACACACACAACTCAACTCTCAAGAGCTAAAGGCCCTTAAAAAGCTAAAGATAGGAAGGACATCGTCATTCTACCAGCCGACAAAGGAAGAACAACAGTATTCATGGACAGAGAAGAATAAACCAAGAAAGCTTAAGTACTACTCAAAGACGAGGATGTATATCAACAACTCCCAACAAATCCCATACAAACATTGGACAACTGCATCCAAAGGACCTTAAACAAACTCACCAAAACCAGACAGATCACGAAACAAGACCAATGGCGAATGAAATCCAACGGACCAGTATTACCCCGATTCTACAGCAGACCCAAAATACACAAGCCAAATATCCTGTTACGTCCAATTGTATCACTCCCAGGAACTCCAACATATAGAGCCATCATGAAGCGCAAAACGAATTAGTGAATGGGATGACAAATGCTTGCTGTAAAATGCTCACGTCCTCCGCTCATAGAAATTCTAAAGTATATGACCGAATAATGTTAATGAAGCACTGAGGTGAGACAAACACATTCAGGCTTTGAATGAGGCACAAGTCTTCAAGCCCATTTCTGTCATTTTCTAACAAGTGCCCTCGCTTCTGCAATTCCTTGCCAACCGAACTGATTGGAGGCTCAGGCACCTTTTATTCGCGCCTGTGAATTCAGGAAATTATTACATGGTGACCAAACCAACACTCAACATCAAAATAGATCCTTGGAGTTTTCTGCTTCAGACCAACAAAGATTGATGCTCAGTAAATCATATAACTTTTTCACCTTGTTCTCAACTTTCTCCCAATTCAACGTAAATTTCGTTGAAATTCAGATACATTGTTTGATAAATAAACCTTAATTATATACAGAGTGGGAAAATGTGCATAGACTCATGTGGTGATTGACAATTTCTATCTCTGTATTGTTTCAATACTTACTGTTGATTATTAATATGTTTCTAATATGAATTGCATAATAATTCCGCTAAATACAAATTCCTGAATTCCGCCCTCTCTGTGTTTTGTTTGGATTCTTGTAATTCGGTCATCTCGAAATACTAATATTCCAAGTACAATAAATTACTACAAATTGGCGTCGCGATGGAACTAAATAACCTGGGAAAGCTTCCTATAAATGCTACTCCGCGGGAGATTGCTGATTATTTGGAATGCTTCGATGCGTGGTGCATTTCCAAGAATGTTCGGGATGACAAAATACCTGCTCATTTCATCACCGCTATTGGGCTTGATGCATATAGCCTGGTGAAGAATCTGGCATTTCCAGATAAACCTATTTCTCTGCCATATGCTAAGCTCCGTGAACTTCTTATAGATCATTTCCATGTAACTACTTTTGAGACCAGAGAGAGGGCTCACTTCAACAAACTGGTACGTTCTCCCAACCAGAAGATTCGAGAATTTATTCTTCAACTTCAAATTCAAGCCTCAAAGTGTAATTTTGGAGATCAGCTGCATACTCAACTACGTGATCGTCTAATTGCTGGAATCAACATTCCTAAATTAGAGAAGGAGTTAATTCAGATTCCTTCTTGTACCTTTCAAACTGCTAAAGCGTTTTTTATGACATATGAAGATGTCAATAATGAATACTCTGCTCCCACTACGTCAGTATCTGATGTCATGTTGTCCAAAGTCGAAAATACAAGTGTTCATGGAAAGCAATCCAAACTGCCGTCCACAGGTAATAGAATGCAGCCAGAGATCAAAAACATTAAACCGTGTTTATCCTGTGGAAAGTTACATCTACGAAGCACTTGCCGTTTTCGGGGTGCTAAGTGCCATAAATGTGGTAAAGTTGGACACATCAAGACTGTTTGCAGAAGTTCGAATACTTATGTTGCTCAACATTCTTATAATTCTCCCAATCTGTCTAGTAAAATGGAGTCAATGTGTCTTTCAACATTTCAAAATACTCAAGCTAATCCAATGAAAACCTCCACTACAAGTTCGGCAACGAAAGTGTCAACTGTTTTCAAAAATGTGGTAGCCGAGTTACAATGTGAACTGTCGAAAACACGATAAGATCTGAATGAGATGAGAGAGCAACTGATTAAAATTGAGGAATTACTGCATATGCATAGACTGCGTCTGTCGAATGCAGAGCATACAAGTACCCGTGAAAGTCCTGCAAAACTATTCAAATCTCGAATTCTCAGAAAGCATCTGATGTCCACGACTTCTAATGTACATTATTACAAAGGTAATGACTATAGACCTTCTGTTGGAATTATACTACAAAAAATGGGAAATCGAGTGGTGAAGATATTAGACATCAAAGATCACTCAGTTCATAACGGACACCTGGACAAAGTGACAATAAATGAAGTAGGTCGTTCCAATTATTATTTTAATGATTCCGCTACTGATCCTGATTTTGTAGATAATTCAGAAATAAGTCCAGATAGTACTGATGAAAATAATATCACAGAATCAGTTAGGTCGAAGCTACTTGCAAGCAAACCGCGACATCGTTATAAATACGCAAGGAGATATTCGAGGTGTGGCGGATGTGGTGATTGACAATTTCTATCTCTGTATTGTTTAAAATACTTACTGTTGACTGTTGATATGTTTCTTATATGAATTGCAGAATAATTCCGCTAAATACAAATTCCTGAATTCCGCCCTCTCTGTGTTTTGGTTGGATTCTTTTAATTCGGTCATCTCGAAATACTAATATTCCAAGTACAATAAATTACTACAACTCACTTTATCCACGACACTTTTATCCGTTGTACGAACAAAGATACCATTATACGGAGCCCTTTTTGACCAAGCTTTTTGAATGTCATCGGATGGAAATTCAATTTGTTTCCCCAGTTGTAAACCCAAATAGTGACCTCTGTTGTCATGATTTAACCAATTCTCCACATTCTTCGAAGCCAGCTTAGTTAAATCCCCATTAGGCAGGGCTGCTATAGTGACACCAGAAATACCAGTCTTCAGCAGAAACATAAACAAAGAGGATAGAATTGTAGACTGCTTAATGTTTAGTAGATTTCCAACAACAGATAAATAGCCTACCACATATTGTTCTAGTACAACATGGGATTAGCTGTAGGAAGTGTAAATTGTTCAACTTAAAAAAATCTTGCGTATAAAAGCGACTATGAAATATGTGTGTAAACTCCCATGAACACAACAATCGTGTCCTAAAAATAATAATTTTTTCGTTACCATCGTTACTTCTATCGCGAAAAGCATGCGGATGAAACACACTTTCTTACATCTAATTAATAAAATCAAATAAACCACTAATATACTGTATCTCACTGCATCAGTTGAATGCAGCATAACAAAATGTAGTGAGATAATATAAGTGCACATTTTATCACGAACCAACATCAGTTAGAGATTCCTTGGATGCCAAAGAGCACTGAATAGGTCTTTTGTTCTAATTTGGGACCATTCAACATCGCATCTACACTCCATCAGGGATCAAACCCATTATACGTGGTAAGCCTGTTTATTGTTACCTGAATCTAATGTCGCATGAACCCGTTGTCAGGCATACCGCCATCATCATCATTGTAATCAATGGGCACCTAAACGTTGAATTTTATTCTCCTGCTTAATAATGCAAACAATATAGATTTCCTGAAGCTCCATTGAGAAGGCCTGAAGGGTGGAGTATAAAATGTGGGAAATGAAGCAGATGTGTGGACGTCACATTGCAAATCAAGAGAAAATAGAACGAATGAACCATATTAGGTTTCGACGAACTTCTTGAAAGACAAACACGCTTGTTTCGTAACCTGAAGGTCTAATGTTTGATTCCTAGCGGTACCATTACTGGACACTTCTGAAGAGTTTCAAACTAAGATGAAATAGCTGTGTTGGGACTTCTTGGTGTCTAGCGACTTTCAAACTCTGAAGAACATTTCAGCATTCCGTAGGACAAATGGCACTTGGGTATAAAAAAGAGATTATGCTTCACGATGAGTACTAACAGTTCTTCATAGTACAAATATCCAGAAGCAAGAAAATTAGAGTCGAATAAAAGTCAATATGACTAGAATCAAGACCTAAACCAGTACAGGTGCACATATCGTCTTAGAGAAGATTTTTCGACATTTCATCTTGCAAATACAACACATTAGTGAGAGGAGGAGGATATATCTATCACAATAATTTGATCATCAAACAGCGGCCAACTATTTTTGCAACGTCATGGGATAACTGTTGTATTTCTTGTTACATGTTTAATATCAGCCCATATGAATATTCAGTGTAGATATTGGAGTATGAGCACTCCTCAACCGATTTCAAAAAGTTTTCTAGGACCTATGTATATTTCCCAGTTGGGTTGTGCTAACTTCCATGAATTATTGACACAAGGCATCTTAACAACGATAAATACATGAGATAAAGGTAATTAGCATAATATTTCAGTGCAATAGACTTACCATAATCGACACACACGCTGTGAGGTATCCACTACCTGGATCAACAACTAATGCATTAAAACCATTCCGTAAGCGAAAACTTAGTAATTTCAGAATACGTGCTTGCTAAATCATGAGAAATAAAATGAAACATATATATTAGATGACGGAAGTACATCAGTATATCTGTGTCATGAATGCACAAAACAACATATGAAATTGCTTTCCTCGAAAAATGCATTACATAATGTAAGGTGTAAGAAGGGATGACTAATTGTAAGTTAGAAAAGAGACAGAAGTTGACATGACGTAATACATCTGAGATAATAGGCCTACTAGAGAAGGGTATCCACCAGGATTCATAGACAAAAACATGAAAGCAAAGCCTCCGTTGCCGAACGTTGCAACTGTTCCTAAGAAAACTCTCTTCATGAACCTGGAATTCAAAGGTGACCTCGCAGCAGAAATTCACAGAAACCGCCTTTCTAAATGTCTAAAGAAGACATTTCCGATAGTTACCTTACGTTTCACGTTCTCCAGCAGACGGTTAATCCAGTCTTACGTTAAGGATAAGGTAACGCTTCTGGCCAATTCGGTGTGTATTTATCAATTTAACTGCTCATGAGAAGCAAAGTATATTGGCCGTACACAACGTCAAGTCCATGAACGTTTTCCGGAACACTGTTCAGCTTGGTTAGCCACAGGAGAAAAGAAGAAGTTTAAGAGGTTAGGATTATTTCTTATATTGGGTCGTACATTTTTAAGGCTGATATGTTGATAGAAGAAAAAGACTTTCGTTTAAATGATGTTCTCCCCAGCATTCAGTCTATTTATGCTATCACAATAAGTTTGTTAGCAGTAAATATTATTAATAACGACATATCGAAAAGATGATATACAAGGAAAATAGCTAATATAACAATCGAAAAAAGAATCATATTGTCCAGCTTGGTTAGCCAGATGAGAAAATAAGATTAGCAGCAGCTCTATCCTCGAACACCTTGTCATCTCCGGATATCAAGCAGGCCCACATGAATATTTCACAGTGCTACACAGAGTCCCTCAAAATCCTACAAAGGGACCTCGTATACGCCATAGCTGAAGCATTAGCTATTCGTAATCTGAAAACGGACCTCTGCATTGAAAAGCGATGCATATATTCACTCTCCTCACCGCGGCTAGAGTAAAGTTCTTTCCATAATTTTGTTTCTTCTTTTTTATCATGTAAGTCCACTATTATTATTTTTATTACTACTATTATTTGATTATCATTATTATTCCCACCATCGATATTTTATTACCACTCTATTGTTGTCTATTAATAACATTGCTTTTCATACATATTTCATGTAGAAACACTTCATCACCTTTCCACTAGTTCCTGTCCATTTTACACGAGCTTTTTGATTAGTCATTATCTCACACTTACTACGTCATGCCAGCTTCTGTCTTTTTTCTAACTGCCAATTAGTCATCCCGTTTTACACCCTAGATTATATAATACATTGTCCAAGGACAAAGTTTACCAGTATCTGATTGACCTAAAGAATTCTATGTTAAATATAACTGCGATTGTATAGCTCATGAAAATGAATCCTTGCAAAGAAGAATTCTCTTCGATGTTAACCCCTTTCTTCTTACAAAACTCATTTTCATTTAAGCATCTTATCTAATTCTGACATATCATGCTTGAACTAAAATCTCTAACAGCACTAAATTCATTCACATATTTCACCGTGGACTAGTCGGCCTCAGTCGTTTGTTTAATATCAAAGAAAACACATTAACAGAGAATGAATAAAACTATGTTAACGATTGCTTTTCATGGATTCCCATTAGCCGGTAGTGGTAAAATATGGAGTTTGCAGATACTCATCGAACAATTTTCAGAATTGATGTAATGTAAATGAAGCCATCAGAAAAACGCTGATGTGTTCACTTTTTCCTTAAGTAATATAGAATTCCACATGTTAACAACTACGTCACTTTTAAAGCATCATAAGATAACAATGGATCACAAACACTATCCAATCGTCATTCATTATTCTCAAAACTTGAAAACATTTATTCATCTGCTAAATCCCACCTTTTATCACTCTATATAGAAGTGGTCGGATGGTTTTCTGTTGTATACTTAACTCTGATTTTTCAAAATGAATGACAAAGGCTTCAGAAATACAAAGGAAACGAAAGTGAATTGCTTTTGGTAGGTTGTTCTGTACGTTTTAGATCGCTTTGAAGGAGGCATTCGCTGAGATGGAATGACTAGTGGTGACGAGATGTCCGATTATCTCACTCCTTATATAGCCACTACTACATTTTGTAGCCATGCGGGATAGTGTTTTCAAACCCTTTTGAAAAAGATACGGATCAAACGACCAATGTACTTGGCTACACAGCAACAAGTGAACTGATATATGTGTAAATAAAAAAGGTCAGTGACGGGATATTGTCCTTAAGGCTTCTGCATACCAATGGGCGACTGAAGAACAATACTCAGCGTTGCTGATAAGAAAGTCATCAAAGAAGCTAAAATTCTTCTCCCAAGGATATTGCAAGCTAAATATCCCTTGAAATCCAGATTTGTATAAGGTTTCTTCTTTGCAACAAGTAGTGTTTCATTTCTCTGGACTTTTGGTCTGATATTCCTGTCATGAATTTTGTTGGGTATCCATTTGGGATGAAGGTTTCTTTAAAAGATACAGTTTAGCCCCTAGGGTGTCAGGACTGAAGACCCGTTGGTTCCGAGTGGCAAGGGGTTTGATTAGATTTCGTTCTCGTCCAACGGGCACCAAACTGTGGAAAATTGTTAGTTGACTGTTCCAAGTATTTCGTATATGGATTAATCTTCTTAAAGTTCTGTCAGGTCCTCTGGTTAATTCCACTTGTTTTGTTTTCAACTAATATCCGAATAGGTATTGTTTACGAAACATAATGAGATTTTTAGGTCATAAATTAGCTTGGAATGTTGAATATTCGCTGAAATAGATTAGCTTAAGTAACAAACAGATGAAGGTTTTCATATGTTAGGCAGTCACTGTTGGGTACTGGAAGAATTAATAAAGATTCAGACGTTTGGATTAACGATAATTTATTCGAGATTTTTTGAACGTGTAATCTGCAATGTTCAAATAATTTACGTGCACTAAAGCGATCCAAATGAAGCCTACATTTTCGCAGTTTGTTATCAACACCCATACAATCATTCTTCTAGTTATAAAGTACACTTCGAATGACAAATACTATAGTCAGTTAAAGTAATGCATATATGAAATGTAGTGATGTAAAGAATTAAGTAACTAATTAAACAAAAGAATTCTGTGGCAAACATGAGTCAACAAGTCAGTGCTTGTCTGAATCTACTTTAACCAGTCAAAGTCTCTAGATAATCACTACAGTAAGCGTGTAAGCGGAGAGGATATTCAAGGGTACAGCCTGTCAGATAATCTCAGCTTGACTGCTTGCAGGGCGAATCTTTCTTCATGAAATCTGAGAAGCAAATTTAGCGAGTATATATACTAGCAAATTCAAAAGCAGCCAAGAGTCCCTACAGAGTCTCCAAATCACTTCGAATGAAAAACTGAATCATGAAAACAGATATAAATCAAAAGTGAAGATAGTTATGTAATTGTGGTGATTGACAATTTCTATCTCTGTATTGTTTCAATACTTACTGTTGATTATTAATATGTTTCTAATATGAATTGCATAATAATTCCGCTAAATACAAATTCCTGAATTCCGCCCTCTCTGTGTTTTGTTTGGATTCTTGTAATTCGGTCATCTCAAAATACTAATATTCCAAGTACAATAAATTACTACAAATTGGCGTCGCGATGGAACTAAATAACCTGGGAAAGCTTCCTATAAATGCTACTCCGCGGGAGATTGCTGATTATTTGGAATGCTTCGATGCGTGGTGCATTTCCAAGAATGTTCGGGATGACAAAATACCTGCTCATTTCATCACCGCTATTGGGCTTGATGCATATAGCCTGGTGAAGAATCTGGCATTTCCAGATAAACCTATTTCTCTGCCATATGCTAAGCTCCGTGAAATTCTTATAGATCATTTCCATGTAACTACTTTTGAGACCAGAGAGAGGGCTCACTTCAACAAACTGGTACGTTCTCGCAACCAGAAGATTCGAGAATTTATTCTTCAACTTCAAATTCAAGCCTCAAAGTGTAATTTTGGAGATCAGCTGCATACTCAACTACGTGATCGTCTAATTGCTGGAATCAACATTCCTAAATTAGAGAAGGAGTTAATTCAGATTCCTTCTTTTACCTTTCAAACTGCTAAAGCGTTTTTTATGACATATGAAGATGTCAATAATGAATACTCTGCTCCCACTACGTCAGTATCTGATGTCATGTTGTCCGAAGTCGAAAATACAAGTGTTCATGGAAAGCAATCCAAACTGCCGTCCACAGGTAATAGAATGCAGCCAGAGATCAAAAACATTAAACCGTGTTTATCCTGTGGAAAGTTACATCTATGAAGCACTTGCCGTTTTCGGGTGCTAAGTGCCATAAATGTGGTAAAGTTGGACACATCAAGACTGTTTGCAGAAGTTCGAATACTTATGCTGCTCAACATTCTTATAATTCTCCCAATCTGTCTAGTAAAATGGAGTCCATGTGTCTTTCAACATTTCAAAATACTCAATCTCATCCAATGAAAACCTCCACTACAAGTTCGGCAACGAAAGTGTCAACTGTTTTCAAAAATGTGGTAGCCGAGTTACAATGTGAACTGTCGAAAACACGATTAGATCTGAATGAGATGAGAGAGCAACTGATTAAAATTGAGGAATTACTGCATATGCATAGACTGCGTCTGTCGAATGCAGAGCATACAAGTACCCGTGAAAGTCCTGCAAAACTATTGAAATCTCGAATCCTCAGAAAGCATCTGATGTCCACGACTTCTAATGTACATTATTACAAAGGTAATGACTATAGACCTTCTGTTAGAATTATACTACAAAAAATGGAAAATTGAGTGGTGAAGATATTAGACATCAAAGATCACTCAGTTCATAACGGACACCTGGACAAAGTGACAATAAATGAAGTAGGTCGTTCCAATTATTATTTTAATGATTCCGCTACTGATCCTGATTTTGTAGATAATTCAGAAATAAGTCCAGATAGTACTGATGAAAATAATATCACAGAATCAGTTAGGTCGAAGCTACTTGCAAGCAAACCGCGACATCGTTATAAATACGCAAGGAGATATTCGAGGTGTGGCGGATGTGGTGATTGACAATTTCTATCTCTGTATTGTTTAAAATACTTACTGTTGACTGTTGATATGTTTCATATATGAATTGCATTCTAATTCCGCTAAATACAAATTCCTGATTGCTGCCCTCTCTGGGTTTTGTTTAGATTCTTATAATTCCGTCAGATCGAAATACTAATACTTCAAGTACAATAAATTACTACAGTAATGTCGGCCGTTAACAGAAAGGTTATTTTCAGTTTATGCACCTACATCTTTCACATCGGCATTAGACCCACCGGATGCTTAAGAGTACTACATAAAAATTTGAAAAATTTTAGAAACGTTTGCGAAAGTGAAGATCAGCATTGCTGAATTTCTATACAGTTAGTGTAGACTCTATAGACTGAATATCACAGTACACATAGATTTCAAAATCTGATGTCACACATGGGTTGTCGTGCTAAGACGTAAAAGATAGTACCAAGACTACACATCCTGTAAACAAGCTACTGGTGTTTTTCTATCAACCTGCACTAAATGAAAATGTAACTCTAGATTTGGATATCTCCTAAGGAATGCTCGTACCACTTCAAACATCACAGCTACAAATAAAATGAACTAACACAGCATCTAAATTTCGAAGCAATTGTGACAACTAAATGAATTCAATTTCATACGGTCATTCATCGAGGGTGAAAGTCGAAATAAACACATTCCTGGGATGTAACCAAAAGTTCAAACAAACAGGCATGAAACCGCCCATGGTTGTCAAAAACCAAAGCAATTAAAATTGATCTTCTAAAATAATGAAGAAACAGAAGGCAAAAATAATTCTTAAGAGATTTATTGAAATTTAGAATAGAGATTGGTTCCATTTTGTCTCAAAGGTCATTTCCGTCATCTGATTGTCAACCAGTGGAGTTTTCTTACAAAGGACGTCGCACCAGTGCTCTCCTTTGATTCGTGCAAGTTGAGATTGGACCTCTTCTGAACAGCACCTGAAGAGCGGTGACGTAGGCAGAACGTTACCAAAGGAGCTATGATGGCAGAGAGTTTCGTATGTGATAAACTTTAAGAGGAGGAATTGTAGGCTTTAGCTGTTGTACCATTCTCTCATCAGTAAAACATATTGGTTTTCCTTTGGTTACGTCGTGTAGCGCTTTCGCCAGTACGTCTTTCCTCAGACGCCCCTATTTTCTTCAGTTTTGTAGGCTTTCATCGAGCCATTACTTGTTTTTTGGTAACTGAAAATCTTCTGTTTATCAGGGTGAAGTAAAGGTAGGCTTCCTAAGTACAGCAGCTTGAGTGGAATCATTTAGACCTAAAGTCAACTCTCCAAGGATGGTAAGTAAAGGTGAATCGGTGCTGAGAAATCCTGTATGATGAAAAGTAACTGATGTATAATAAAAAGCATCACATTATACAGGTTAAAACTATCCAATAGGGCTTTGTTGGAGGAAAAACAATCCAACTCACTACTTGGGGCGCAAGGATAGTTCCACCAAAGTCGATTGATCGTGAACCAATTTCGTATGGGTTCGTTTGAAGAAAACAACCACGATCTACAAGATACATGATTCTTTTGACATTCTTCGAACCAAGTAACTTGTTGTCTTTATCAAAACAGAATTAAAATGTAGAATCTTATTACCCTCTAGATTCTTAAGCATAGTTATATGTTTAGTCTCATCCGCTCGACAGATAGTTTCGCATGTAACAGAATGCAAGATAATTACGATAATCAGAATGCTTCGGAAATTTATGGCTAGACCCATTTGATTACAAAAATAGATAAGGCAGATTTTGATTGACCCCACGGTAACACCAATTACAACTTTGAATTATCGCTTTCCGAGATCCAATATCCCCTCAATAGCTGGTAAAAACCAAGTCTTTATGTACAATATACAATATATTTGCAACGAGCTTTCATTAGCTTGCTGATTTTCTGGCGTTAGTTTGGTGGTGCTTTTATAGGTCTTAGATGTTTGGTGGATTCTAGTACATCAGATCTATATCATGTCTGCGGCAGTTCTGCTGAATACGTTAGGTAAAATCATATCAATTTATATTTTGGAGAAAGAAATGTGTTCCAAAATGATGTGACTAAGGAAAATTGAGGTTGCTGCCCCTATAAGAAAAGTGAGAAAGTGAAGAGAGGTTATGAGAACAGAGGTTGAAATTAGGAAATAATTATCTGTTCCGGCTACTGTGAAGCAGCAATCACATGTGGCCACCCAGGTGGGGGTAATTACAAGGTGATATGATAAACGTCCTATTTCCATTAGGAACACCAAAAGAACTGTTGAGACTATTCAACAGAAATCCAGTTTATTAGGAAATCCTACTGATCACCAGCAGCCCAAATTACACAAGCCGACTAATACGGATAAAGCTAAACCAAACGTTAGACCCGGAACACTAAAGCCCATAAGAAGGAAAGTTTCAAATGGGTCACTGGCTCATTCTACTGATAGACAATCATCTAAACTTAGTCATGTTCCTGAAGTTAGACGTAATTCACATACCGTAGGAGCTGAATCATTTCCGACTTCCACTACCAGTCCTATGATAAGAAAAAACAATCGTCACATATCTCACCAAACACTTCGAAAACACGAAGTTGCTCAACCCCTCACGAATGCACCCTCAACCATGATGTACAGGAAACATCAGTTTGAGAATACAGACGTTAGTCCAAAAACACGTATAGTGCCCTGTCATAATTCTCATGCATTCAGTAGGGGTCACATGCCAATTTCAGCACAATGCTCATCATGGCCTAGGAAGTACTCTAATCAGACACAGGGATCTAAGTCATATGCACACAACAACACGCCGATCACACATTTCGGTTATAACTATGCAGATTACACGACACTAGCCAATCCATATGACCAAAATTTTCTCCAGCGACAACTGGCAGAAACGCCTGGGATCATGCACATAGCACGCATGATATCAGACCAATTCCTTGCTGGTATAGCGAACACCTTACAACAGGGAAACTGCTTCTTCCCCGAAAGATAGCAAACATCTTATACACACCTAATACCAATAGTAATACCATAGATTATCATACTAGTATCTCCCATAGCACGCAATATCTAAACGACCAACTACTCACGAGTGACATTTCACAACCCATCCCTAACTATCAAATTAAAGAAACCGTCTCTAGTGATCAAAATGTTGTAATTAATGAATCCAATAACGACTGCACATATTCAGTTGATAACCATAGAGTATTTTATTATGATATTGCCCATACACTAAAACCACTTCGTCAAAGTCTATCCGTCATCCTCATAAATGCTAGATCAGTTCTTAACAAACATTTAGCATTATGTACGTTAGCCTCTATATGCAATCCGTCGCTGATCATGATCACTGAAGCCTGGTGCTCAAGTGACATTGTGGATGGTAGCTTATCAATTGATAAGTACAATCTTTTTCGAGGGGATAGGGAAACAGGTCGTGGGGGTGGAACACTCATATACGTTAAACAACCCATTTGTGCAACGCATTTTAGTCACCCTATTCTGTCACAACTTAATGATTCGGTGTGGGTCGAAATAAAAGTTCTCAGAAGTAAACCTATCCTTATAGGGTGCGTATACCGACCGCCATCATCCAACCGCGAATACGATAACGTACTCAGCAACATATTTAGTGTTGCATCCAATCTCCCCTTCAGTTATAATATAATTGGAGGTGACTTCAATTTGCCTGATATATCATGGCGTACACTTCGTGGACCCTCGAGGTATGATAATCTTCTTAATTCCATCATTACTGGAGGATGGACGCAACACATAAATGTACCCACTAGGTCCAATAACATTCTTGATCTTATATTCACGATCAACGTAGCACCATCTACAATTCATGTGGGACATGAATTCCCAGGTAGCGATCATAAAATAGTTGCATGTTCGTTTAACATTTCCCAGAAACTATACACAGAAACGAAGTTAGTCGGACACCTATAAGACCATACACGCGGGTTGATTGGGACTTGTATCAGGACTTGATTAGATACTCTAATTGGGATTCCTACTTTACCAATGACTCCTTAGAGGAAGTCCTTAAAAACTTCTATGACAATATACAGTCGGTTAATGATGTCATAGCGCCTGTGAAACTGATTAAATTCAAAATCCCTCAAGGTGATTTTATTCCAATATCATTAAGAAGAAGTTTGCGGAAGCATTCATTAAGTTACTATAGACATGACGACTTATCGTCGTTAATCGCTATCAAAACAATCCTCATTAGAATCCATGAGTTAAAAAATCTAAGTCTTAGGAATAAAGAAACGCGGGCAATTCAGTCGCCACATAACACTGGAGAAATAGCCAAACTCTTCAAAAGTAGGTTAACTAACTCCAAATCAACATATCCAAAAATAATACACCTAGGTGGCATTACTCACGAAAGTGCTGAGGATATATGTGAGGTGTTTAGCACGCACTTTGCCAAACTGTACACTCTAGAAAATGACCAGGATATAGATTTCCCTCGTAAAACAGAAAAGTGTCTAAGCGATGTAGTCTTAAACGCCCAAGAAATCGATAAAGCTATCACAACTCTTAAGCTTACTAATACTCCCGGCCCAGATGGAATGTCTTCCGTCCTCTTAAAAAATGGTGGAAATGACATGAATCTACTTCTTCTCAAGATATTTTCAACTTCGATAAGGAGTGGAACATATCCAAATAGCTGGAAGAAATCCTACGTTGTACCCATTCACAAAACCGGACCTACAGCGGACATAGATAATTACCGCCCCATCAACATTACTTCCGTAGTTTCACGTGTGATGGAAAAGATTGTAAAGAAGCAAATTGTTCAGTATTTGCTCTCGAATGACTTAATATCCCCTTTCCAATACGGTTTCCTAAATAGAAGATCGTGCATTACGTGCCAGTTAGATTATTTCGACCACATTACTGAATGTGTAGACAAAGGTCGTTCGGCAGCAACATTATTTCTAGATGTTAGGAAAGCTTTTGATAAAGTCCCACATAACAGACTCATACTGAAACTCCTATCTTATGGAATAAGTGGAAGGCTTCTTGAGTGGATAACTTCCTTTCTTACAGGAAGAGAACAGTTAGTTAAAGTCAACCATCACTTATCAACATCCAAACCGATAACCAGCGGCGTGATACAAGGTAGTGTTCTTGGCCCTACCCTATTCATTGTATTCATAAATGATATTGTCTCTATGATCAAGTATGGCAAGCCATACCTCTTTGCAGATGACCTCAAAGTTGTCTATGATTTTGACTATAATGATATGAATATTGTTAGTAAAATCCAAGAAGACCTAAATAGTCTATGTAATTGGAGTGAAAAGTGGCAGTTAACGTTCAATCCAGCTAAATCTGGGATAACATACTTCGGACGTTGGAAACCTAGCATGTGTCTATACATGTACGGTGACCTTGTCTCAAACACAAACACAGTCACAGATCTCGGGATAACATACTCAGATCTTACCTTTACTGAACATGCAAATAAGGTGGTATCTGATTGTAAACGTCTAACCGGCTTTGTGCTACGCAACTTTTACACTCCAGAAGCCAGATTAGCCATATATAAGATATGCATTCGCCCCAAACTTGAATACTGTGCCCACTTATACAGTAGCTTTAAATCAGCAGACAGAAAAAAAGTTGAAAGTGTCCAAAGATTCCTTACGAAACGCATATTAGGCTATGGTCAGCAAATAGAATACCTTGACAGATGTATTCGACTGGACTTAGAGCCCTTATGGTTAAGGAGAGTGAAGTGCAATTTATTTCTCTTATTCAAAGTTATAAGAAAGCACTGTAACAGTAACTCGTCCATAACCTGGGCTAATCCTAAATCGTATGGACTACGCAACCACAACTACCTTCTCAAGGTTAACACCCATAAACTCACCACTAGAGCTAACTTCTTCACCATTAAATATTGCAAACTTTGGAACCAACTACCCTCTGAGATAAGATCCTGTGAAAGGCCTGACAGTTTCAAAAGGAGCCTAGAAAAACATATAAACATGTCCACCCTAGCCCGCCTCAAAGATCTCAACTGCTGGTAGAGTGGAGAGACAATGGCATTTCAATATTTAACTACAGAAAGTACACTAGTTCCCAGACTAACATAATAATACTTAGTAATTATGTAGGTTCAATACTTGAAATTCGATTGTCATTAAAATACTTAAAATGATTAAAATACCTATGCGGCAAATGTTCTCTTGGTTTACCGCTCTTATTTCCCTTATAACACTCAGTTATTGAGCCTAATGTATTCTTTGATAATACGAATTATGACACTGACTATGCTCTTATTATACATAGATTGATTTACTTTACGACTACCTGTAGTACTAACTACCCTTCTGTAGTATTGTTAACCAAATGCTGAAATTTTGTTGGTTCTGTTAATATCTTTTTATAATATATGTAGACAGGTTACTTTGCAATGTCAAATGTTGACTATATATAAGACTGTCATGATAATTTAGTACACTAAGTCCTGCCAACCGACCTTACCTTCAGTTCATACTACCTACATTGATCCCTAACTATATTGTTCTGCTGAATCTTGCTTCACTATTCACAAAACCTATTCTTTTTATTCTTTAAGGTTTTAACTTCTTGTAAAGTAATCTGTTCATTAGGACGCATGCATACATATATAATGTTCATAAAGATGTACGCGGAGACCTATTGGAAGCACTCATTAAGAAAGCTAGGGAGATGGAATATGAGGTACGAACATGTCTGGTACCAAGCAATATATTTGCGGTAGCCATAATAATCATAGTCTCAGAGCTTAACATCAAAAAAGGAGGGAGGGTGGCGTTA